CAGTACTTAATATGATCCCAAATAACGCACCAATATTTAGTCCATTGTGAAAGTGATTCCTTACACAACCCAAATAATTTGGATCTTCAAAATGAGAAAAAAAGTTTTTATCGTTGGTTCTTAAAATTTGACCTTTCAATTAAAATGGTTCTTGAAATCAAGGTTTTAAAAGAAGTTAGGCGCTAATTGAACGATGGGATAAGGTCTAGCGCCTAAAGCGGATTAGGCGGTTTAAGTAAAACTTTTGCTTATGCTTATAATATATATAATTTCATCATAAACTACAAAATAGAATAACATATTGTTGACCCTAAAAACTTCCAAGCCTACGTGGCGCGCATGCCGAGTAATTAATAAGCTAACTACGTCATTTGGTTATGTGTGGGGCGTGCCAACTCGACGACTGAGCTCGGCCAAGGAGTTATATAAGCTGATGTTGCATTGAGCACGCTACTGACTTCTTGATCTTGTGACTATGGTCGAGGAAAGAACACGTCTCAGCCTTTGGGTTCTAGAGCCTGAAGACAAGGCTGCTAGTTATGCGAAGTTCACAAATCGTCGGCTCCGAGTTCAATCACGGTGATTATATTTGTGAGAGTATAAGCACGCCGAACTGACACCCGACTATATGGACACAAATACTCGAAAGAGATGTATATCTTGATGGTAAATGTGGTTCGGCAGTCGGAATGCCAAACTCTAAAGTATACTTGTGAATATCCAATCATAAAACAACTCGGCATTTAACATGCCAAGCCTAGTAACCTGTAACACCTCACTTTGATGAGAAGGTTGATGAGATGACCTCTACCAACAAGGACTCGGAAATCCTTGTTGACTGTTTGCCTTCACAGTGTGTTGGCGGGAAGAAATGGGAATAGAATAAAATCTCAAAGGTTGTTGAAAAGCTTTGTGCATGGCAATTTGTGTGTTAAATTGGAAAGGGGCCTAAATGATGCACTTCATTCTCTATTTATAGCAACAAAACCCCCCTCATAACCAAACTAGAAATGTACTCGGATTAGAACTCCTCAACCCAATCTGATTAGGTTTCAGCCAGTCCTAGCTCCAATAGGACTTTGAACCAAACTCCATAACAAACCAGATTCATCTCCTAATCCCAAGCACCTTCGGCTCCAAAACTCCTTGTTCCATTATGAATCGACTACTTCACCCTTTATCTAAACTAATCATCTTCGCAACAAGATTCGGCCAGCCCTAACTGGACGGTCCACAAGAAAATTCTAAATAATTGCCATTGGGCTGAGAATAATCCCAGGCTCGGCCCAAAATAACATTTTGGGCCCAAACACATATACATTATAAAGTATTGAAACATAATGAAAATAAGGGGAACAAACATATAATTTGTGTTCATCTAAGTATTCAATAACTCTCTAACAATTTATTGAAAAAATAAAATGGAAATGAAATTAATATTTTTTTCTGTCTAAGTGAGTCGCGACCTAGGTGGGTCTGGGTGGGCTAGGCGGGCTAGGTGGGCATCTCAGCAGGTCTAGGTGCTCATTCTTAATTTTCAAACTTCTAGACATTAATCAGGGCGGTGGCTAACCGCCTAGTGCCTAAGCGGTGCTAGGTGGGGATTTTTAGAACAGGCTTGAAAATAAAAATATGGTCTTTTCGTTAATTTTTTTGCTAGCACATAAATGGATTTCACCTATCCAATTATATGGTGCTATGTGGATTAGTAATAAAAAAATATTTTTGAAAATAGTTAAAAACTAAGATAAAGAGTTTAAACTAAAACTGAAAAAAGGAACATCGTGGTCTTTGATCTTGCGACTCTTGAGAGCCTTCTTCTTTGATTGGCAACGGAGATAAAAACCCTAAGTTTTAACAGTCGAGCACTCGAACGGGGAGAGAACCTTGAAGATGACGATTTTTTTTAGAGTAAATTGTAGCAATGGTTTCTCAACTTTAATCAAATTGGAGCAATGGTCTCTCAACTAAAAATTCATTACCATAGGTCCCTCAACTTATCAAAATGTGTAGCTATAATCATTTTCATTAATTTCGTCAAAATTTTGTCAAAATAAGTTATGTTGGAATAACTATTTATATAATCAGGATCCATCAACTCATCAAAGTGTGTAATTATAGTCATTTTCGTCAACTACGTCAATTTTTTTGTCAAAACGAGTTATGTTGGAATGACCATTGCTACAATTAGGTTGAAGTTAAGAAACCATTTCTCCAGTTGAATTAAAATTGATGGACCAATGGTAATTGATTTTAAGTTGAAGGACCATAGCAGCACGTTTTGATGAGTTGAAGGACCAATGGTAATGGATTTTAAGTTGAGGGACCATTACTCCAATTGCGTTAAAGTTAAGGGAACATAGCTATAATTTACTTTTTTTTTATATAGTTTTATTTTAGTTTTTAAATCTTTATAAAAATTTGGGTTTTATTATTAGTCCACGTGACCTGATATGATTGGATAGGTAAAACTCATTCCTGTGCCACATTAATACATAACTGAAAATTAGACAGATTGACCAATTTGATTTGTTTGTTTCATTTCCAGAGACCAAATTGATAGACTTGCTATTTCAGAAACTATATTGATTGAAGGTTTTAATTTTACCCCTGATCAAAAAATAAAATAAAAAATTGTTTGGATTATTTAAGCAAAATATTAAAAGGGAGAAATTTTGTTCACAATTAATGAATTATACTATAAGTGGGTGGAGATTTTGATGAACCACACAATGAGCCATCTATAACCAATGGCAGAGCTAGAATTTTTTTCTTAGGTGGGCTAGCTGAAATTAGTACCATAAAATCACATGTTTATTTTTTAATCAATATAAAAGAACGACAATAGAATATAAACAATTCTTGAAATCATAACCATAACCGACAACTTCAAGGACCATATAAATAATGAACCTGCTAAATAAACCAAGAATAAGTAAATAAAGTGATTAAGAACGTATCAAATGTTGCATTCATTGGAAAATTGCAACGAAAAGTAAAGAATTGCGGAGATAGGGATTTAATTGTGAACTAAATGAAAATTCTTTTTCTTTTCTTGTGTAAGAAGTACAGAGGCTAAATTGCATAGGGTAAATGATCTTTTTCTTTAATGAATAGAATAGAAGGGGGAGGGAAGATAAAACTAATTTATTACTTGTAGCATAAAAAGTATTATTTATTACCTATCGATAGGCTATATATAGGCTACATGAAATAATAATCTGTATTGAAATTGAGTGGGCTATATAGGCTATATATAGGCTACATGCATTAACATAAGTCATTAAAGCATGAGTTTGAAAAAAGATAGTGTTATTCACATACATTTATTAATTTTTTGTCATTGATCGTCATCAATTCATTCAATTTGAAGGTTGAAAACTGAAAGAAATGTATGAAAAATAAAAATGAGTGTGTAGATACAATACACTTACAAAAAAACTTCTCCAAGCTACAACCCACCTTAAGCCTTGTGGGTGGCTCCGCCCATGTCTATAACTGAGTCCTACATATCCCTATGTCTAACCATGCATTACATATGGTAATTAGATGAGATGGAAATGTAAGACCGAAATGGAAATGGTCAAACTTAAATTCAAGCCAGACCATAAAACGGTGCAAGTGGTTCCATCAAGCATGTCCCCTCGATGGTTTTTTAGTAGAGCAATAATGATATTGGGTTAAAATAGTTAGTTGTTAAGGTACGAGAGTGCATAACAATTTAGAAATTATTTCTATACTAGCGCGTTTACGTACATGTAATGGGAATCAAAACATGGAATCGTATTCCGATTATGGACCACTCCTGTGTTTACTAAATTTTAAGGAATAAAAAATATGGTGGGACCCACACAAAGTTTGGAATTCAATTCCTCACTTTGGAGGAATTGGAGGAATTGGATCCCTTGATAGTAAGTGGTATTTGAGTTCCGGAAGAATGAGGGAATGGGGAATCCATTTTGCATACCCATAATGCCCTCACATAATTGCTGAAATTCCAATGATAAAACCAGATCTCGTGCCCAGCGCTAGTCTGTCTGCTTCTCCCTTACTACCGCCCCCTTCCTATCTTCCAAAGGCCACATACCCACCACCATCATCTTCCTAGACAACAACGACAACCAGAAAACAAGATCAAGCGAGAGCTGAAGAAAAACCCATTTTAGTTATTTCTTTTTAACACAATGCTAAAAACCAAACTCCTCACATTCAAATCAACATGATATACCCCGTAAACTAAACTTCAAAGAAATTACATCACCACAACCAGCACTTCCCATAGGCCTCAAACCCACCGTGAATTTCAAATCGTTGAAAGATGATTGAGGCAGAGATAGAGAGAACGGTTGGGTTGAGGTTTGGTTGGTTAGTTTTTTATTTTTAATTTTATATCAATTGACTTGATTTCCTATAAGTTCTTATAAAATATTTATTTATAATAAAGGGTGTTGGTACCACACATAATGGGCCTCATACTTTGATACATTGGGTCTCAGTACCCAGCCCATATGATTATGTAAAAGGATGAGCCCCTTATTCTATAAAAGGTGACTCCTCCCCCTCATAAAGGGGACGGAGAAAACCCAACAGAGGGTAATACCCTCACAAACACAACAACACTCTCTTACTCTCTTTCTCTAGGGGACTCCCCCTCCCTCTTGTAATCCATACATACAGTCAGAGAAATATAATCAATGTGGACGTAGCCCAAACCTTAGGGTGAACCACGATACATCTTGTGTTATTTACATTTCATGCAGATTCACGGTCGGATTTACGTTATTCCAAGACCTCCGGTTTTGTGCATCAACATTTGGCGTCGTATGTGGGAAACGACACAAAAAACTATGTCGGTTCTCTTTCATTTTTTTCATCTCTACCATGAATCTGCAGAAACACCAAACCAAAATCCCAGTCTCATCTCTCTCTCTTTACAAACCCAGAAATGGACACAAACACACAGCCATGTACAATCTAAAAAGAACAACACCGTCATTATGTGATGGGACCATTTCCTTGAGAGCAGATTTGGAGCAGCCAAGCCGACAAGAACAGAAAGAATAGTCATCACAAATCAGAGCTCCTAGGCAACCTGCCAAAACAAGTATTCTAGGATGGCGCATCGCAAGGATCGCAGTGGCGAAGAAGGTCTTGTCGTCGATTTCCGAGAGCACAGTCATGAGAAGTGAGTCAGAGTTTAGGAATCGCTCTGCCAATTTGGTGAGTGAGTAAGCGAGTTGGTTCGGTGATTCATCATGCCTCGAAACTAGTCATCGTTCCTGGTCTCCTGCGGATCAATGAGAACAAGCTTGAGATCGACGGGATCTAATTCGAGTTAGATCGCGTTCGAGTTGTATCTGTTTTGCAGGTATGGCCACCCAACACTTGGCTCAGATTCCCTCTCGATTTCTTCCCTTTCCGCTCCCCACACCCAATCGTATTCTCGCTCAGCCTGAGTCGGCCAGGTCACTCGTCGTCTGCAACCTTCTGACTCACCAGTTCTGAGTTCTCTCTCAACTCGACTCGGCTTGGTCGCGCCACGGCTCGGTCCTCATTAACTCCCAAACCCGAGTCATGGTCCTCACTGAGCTCTACTTTTCTGGTCCTTACCAACGCCAAAGCAAATGCCAACTGACATAACCAAAGCACCCAATCATTTTTGGACCTCCGCTTTCGTTTCCGATGGATCTGAAGATCTCCGTTCATCTCTTTGTACAACCCTCTGCAGACAGGCCATGGGTGAATCGAAGATTCCTGGGTTAGGGATTTTTAATCCAAGTTTGGGGGTTGTTGGGCAAAGCTTTCATTGCTTCATTTAAAGGAACCACTCAAATCTGATTTACTCAATGGAAAATGGGAGCGTTGATCTCGAGGTTGAAGGTTCCTCCAATGTTGGGGGAAGAGGATCCTGAAGCAGAGGTTGAAGGTTTCCTACAACATCGGCATGACCATCACCTCCTCCTCCCTCTCATATCCTCTGCCGCAGTTCCCAATGACATCGATCCTCTCATCCAACAAGTCGTCTCAGAATCTGACGATGATCAGCTCATCTACGCCGACTATAGAGCTCAGCTTCAAAGAATTTAGCTGAAAAGAAAAAAAAATATATATATATATATGAAGGCAGGAGGAGGACCAGTTGTTGAGGTTACCGAAGCCTCGAAACCGATCCCGAAAATCAAGGTGAGCAGAGAACATTAGCTAGTACCATAGCTATGGAAACTAGCAGTTCCAATCTTTATCTCGCGTCAGGGTTATTTCCATCTTGGTCAGTGACACGCGGACAGTTCGAAGATGGGAAGACGAACATGGTGTTTTTCGGCAACTTGAGCTTTGCGGACGGCACCCCCACTTTCTCCAGCATATAGGAAAGGCAAGCCATGTGCTCGCGGTTTTCATGCATGTGGAATCATGCTCTGATTTTTGAGAAAGCAAAAGTAATGACCAGGCTGCTAAAAGAGAAAAGCAAAAGTAATGACCATGTGCTCGCGGTTTTCATGCATGTGGAATCATCCCCTTTTACAGCTGGAGTACACCAGCTTGTGTTCAAACAGCAGAAAAAGAAAAAAGAGAAGTGAGAATGGATGGGCATGACCACGCTGTCCAAGAAAAACAAGTGGAGTTAGCCCTTCAGTTTCGCCAAGAGACAGAGACAGAGACAGAGACACAGTGGAAAGCAAAAGGAAAAGAGAAAAAGAGAAAGAAATGGAGTGCAGCAGAAAAAACACAGGCAAAAGCAAGGAATAAACACTCACACCGCAAAAGCAAGGAATAAACACTCACACTGCAAAAGCAAGGAATAAACACCCCACCAGAGTGATGTGGTTTACTTTCCTTATTTTCGAATGATGTAACTTATTTTTCGTATCTTTCGGAGATATCTGTATAAACCCCATCAGATGGTAATAAAAAAAATAAAAAAAAGGGCAAGCCCAAAATAAATGGGCTGGAATACTATGTGGTGAGCGAAGGCCCGTATGCCCAAAAGAGCCAGACCCTCTATTATCACCAACCAGGTGATCAAAAGTACGCCAAACACTACAAAAAATTATTCGGTACCCCGCCGCTATTACCACCAACCAGGTGATGAAATGTACAACTCGTACTCTAATATCATTTGGCAACTAGCCATTCATGCCACCAACCAGGTGATGAAATGTACAAACCCATACTCTCCTTCATGCCACCAACCAGGTGATCAAAAGTACGCCCAATACTTCATATTATACATGAGCATTACTCATGTCAATCATACATAAACATTCATAAGCATCACTCATATCAATCATACATAAACATTCATAAGCATCACTCATGTCAACATTTATGAGCATCACTCATGTCACATCATGTCATGCATCATGTCATCATGACATCACATGTCAATCAACATAAACATTCATGAGCATTACTCATGTCAATCAGCTTCAAAAGCTTCATTTACAGAGCTCCAGCTTCAAAGCTTCACCTACAAAACTTCAGTGCAGGGTATACAAATACCGCTTCCGAACAACCGCCACTTCGGTCCATACATGGATTCAATTTGAAGTCTCCAGCCAACATACTCTATTGACCGAAGACTTAGGGGACTACATTATGTACCATATATTGGGCCTCAACTGGGCCTCATGAAAATACTTGGGGGACTTAGCCCATTATCTATATACTAAGGAGCGAGCCCTTATTCTATAAAAGGGACTCCCTCACTTTCATTAGAGAACACTCATGAAAAATACTTGGGGGGATTTAGCCCATCACTTATGTATCGAGGAGCATGCCCTTATTTTATAACAAGGACTCCCTCACCTTCGTTAGAGAGCACCGCCGCCAGCTGAGCAACCACCTCGCCGCGAGCATCACTCTTAACCCACCACTTATGTATTGAGGAGCAAGCCCTTATTCTATAAAAGGGACTCCCTCACCACCATTAAAGAGCATCGCCGCCTACTGAGCAACCGCCTCGCCACGAGCATCAACTCTAGCCCATCACTTATGTATTGAGGAGTAAGCCTTTATTCTATAAAAGGGATTCCCTCACCACCATTAATGAACATCGCCACCTACTGAGCAACCGCCTCGCCGCGAGCATCAACTCTAGCCCATCATTTATGTATTGAGGAACGAACCCTTATTCTATAAAAGGGACTCTTTCACAATCAAAACGCCACAAGCCGAGCCAATCAAGGCAACATAAGCCACGAGCCTCGTAGCCCCGCAGCGTGTGCTACTTCTAGTTGAGCGTCATTTCAGATTGAGCACTGCCTTATATCGAGCATCAGTTCAAAACAGCATCTAGTTACTTCGGCCCACACATGGACTGAATTTCAAGTCTCCAGCCAAGACTCTCTTAACTGAAGACTTGGGGGACTACTGTTGGTACCACACATAATAGGCCTCAGACTTTGATACATTGGGCCTCATTACCCAGCCCATATGATTATGTAAAAGGAGGATCCCCTTATTCTATAAAAGGGGACTCCTCCCCCCTCACAAAGGGGACGGAGAAAACCCAACATAGGGCAATACCCTCAAAAACACAACAGCACTCTCTTACTCTCTTTCTCTGGGGGACTCCCCATCCCCCTTGTAATCCATATATACAGTCAAAGAAATATAATCAGTGTAGACGTAGCCCAAACCTTGGGGTGAACCACGATACATCTTGTGTTGTTTACATTTCATGCAGATTCACGGTCGGATTTACGTTGTTCCAAGACCTCCGGTTTTGTGCATCAACAAGGGGCATTCTAGTAATCATACAAATTTTCATTCCGATTCAAGTGAATTAGTTAACAACTTATATTCAAACAAGATCATTTATACTCCGATTCCAGAAACTGTAGTAAACAGCTTTAATGGAAATCTGGATTTCAATTCTCCTCAATTCAATTCCTCCTCAATTCAATTCCTCCTTAATCCAATTCAATCTATTTTGATTACAGATTAGTAAACGGGCCCTTACCCAAACTCTCGTGTACTGTTCACAGATAGTGGAGTGGTGAAAATGCCCTCCGTTCGGTTTTTCCACAAGCATTTTTACTCTTAACTGCACAATTAAATGACGGATTTGCCATCCTAGGCCACACGTCTATCGTCGCCGAGTCTCCTGCTTCGATTTCGTTGGTTCTTCCGCTTATACACGTGTTGCTCATCGTGGTGAAAGGGAAGAAAGATGGAAAAGCAGGGCTCTTCCATTTGCTTCCACAAATTTCTTGAGCTTTCTCTCAAGCTTCGAACCACTGGCACCAGCAAAAAGGTTCGTCTCTCTCTCTCACTTTTTTTTCAATTCGTGATCGAATTTTCTTTGCATGAATGTTCGATCTGTAGCGTTTGGCATGTTTGCTGCGATTAAATTTTTGGGAAAATCCAAGCTAAATTCTGTTTTGATTCGAAGAACTTTTATGCCAGTGAACCTTTGCAATCAGTCTCTATTTTAGTTTCCAACGTCGAAATTGGAAACGGTCTCGAAGAGTTTTGTGCATCTATCTTTTTCAAGGTTACGGTCTTCACCAATCTAATGTTTTAGTTTGTTTATGATTTTTTTTTTCTTTTGGATTTGTTATCATCCTTTTGTACATGACAATATGTGATCCGATATTTTAAATTAGATGTTTTTGTGATTTTGGGTTTGTGGTTTTTTTTGGTGCCTGAAAAAATGTCATCCGATGGTTTCAATGAGTGAAATAACTAAGAGATAAAAGAAATAATTAAAACACAAGAGATGCAGCAATTAGAAAAAAAATTATAGAAAAAAAATTAATTAACTAACTATAATAAACACAAGAGATGCAGCAATTAGAAACATAGCTGCAAGTGTCTTTCCTTTAAATTACTATATTACTTTTGTACTGTATGCATGCATAACAGAAATCCAAATCATAATACAAGATTTTAGAACTGTGCAAAATCGTGTACCAAAATACTAGAAAATAAGAATTGTGAAACCAAGTCATTGTCACTTAAAAAGTGTACATAACTTTAATGTTATATAGATGCAAGTTATTTTTCGCTTATTCTGTAAACCTTTTACTTCCCTTCTAAACTTGAAAGCAGGAAGCCAAGTCTCCAGACTACTCCAAGGACTAGGAGGTCATCCATGAGCAACCTGGCATGAGGATTTTACTCACATGGTTGGGCTTCTGAACCTCATTATATTTAGTATATTCTTCTTATATACAATGCGTCTATTTGCGGATTTAAACATGTCATTTTTGAATTTTAAGGGCATGAAAATTGAAGCTCGGGTGCTACCCCCATTTCAAGGCAACTAAGACCGCTTGACACTGGTAACCCAATTGCTTTCTTTATTGTTTTCCTTAATGGATTATCGATTTCTCACTTTTTTCTGAGTTTTTTACTATAGGTATTTTGCATTTTTGGCCTTCAAGGCATAATTGCGCAGTGCATATATTTGTTTTCATAAAGTGCAATGGATAATATGTTTACCTGATTATTTGTGTGCATAAAGTAATTTTTTTTAGAAATATGGTTATTACTTTTCTGTTTTACAAAAGGGGTTTACAATGCAAAGTCAAAAAGATTTTTTGAGTATTTAATTTACTGCCAACATAAAGGAAGTTGGTGTTATTTTTCTATCGGTTTTATAGTTATTACATCTTATTAGGTATGTTGCTTCTTAGAAGCGATTTGATCACAGTATGACTATGTCAGAATTGCAATTGGTCTTGATTGGGAACATTTTGACATCGGTTGAGAGATGTAGCATTTGTAAATTATGTAACACATGATACTTAAATCGGTTCTTTTCATCTTCTCTCTTTGTTGTCTTCTTCCTTTACAGAGGGGAAGGAGAGGGTACATTTGTGTGTATTATATTTTTCCTTTAGTAGAATGTTAAATTACAACAAGGTTTATAACACAAAAGTCTTTTGGGGACAAATAGTATATTGACTGAAAACATCATTAAGAAGATGAAAAAGTACTTGATTTAAAATTTATAGCTATATGTGTGACAGTTGAAGTTTTTGGTATGAATTTCTTTAATTTTCTAAATTTGGTGTTGTTTAATAAGTAAAGATTCATGCCTACTTGGTTGAAGATAATTTATTACAATCCATTGTTCTGTTACTAAATCTTTATCCTTTATCTGTAAATAATATTGCGCATATAGTTTTTGTAATGGTGTTGAGGATTTTAAATATGTTATTTTTGTGTCTAAACAGTAAACAATGCAATCTACGCAGAAACAAAACAATATATGAGAAGAAGAGGTTAACTTAATTGTGATTAATTTTTTTCGTTTAGTTTTATTCAAATTGGTCAGATTCAATCTAATTCAATCATTTTTTTTTTGCAGTATGGATAACATAAATCTGACATTTCTTTCTTCTCTTTTTCTTAGTTGAGCTACCCGTGCTGCTGTTGATGCAGGATACGTTCCTAAGGAGCTGCATGTAACATTAATGATGGTTTTTTTTTTTTTTTTTCTTTCATTCTTGAAGAATATATTCATTTCTATATTATTTTGTAATGACAGCATATGATGAATCACATCCTTGAACCTTTTATAATTAGTCTTACATTTAGATTTTCTTTTATTTATTCTCCTGCGATTGAAATATGATTTGCTTTTCTGGTTTATAAAGGGATTTATGATGCAATGTCAAAAAAAATTCTTCAGTATTTAGTTTATTGGCAACGTAATGGAATGTGGGTTTATATTTCTACGAGTTTGATAGTTATTACATCTTATTAGGTATGTTTCTTCTTAGAAGCGCTGCAATATTTGTAAAAGAAAAGCAGAAGAATTAGGGGCATATTATGTGGAGGGTGAATTGCTTGCCTGAGGTAATTATATTTTTTATGTGTGAATGTGACTTTTGTGAATATTAACTGAAATGTCAAATGTGTATGTGTATATGAAGGTGAACTAATTTAATATATGTGAACTGAAATTGAGATTGGCAAATTGTGTGGTGAACTGAAATGTACATAGATGATGTGAATTTAAACTGAAATATTTATATGTGAACTGAAACGCACAACAAAAATTATGCTTAGCATGCTCTTGCAATTGATAAATAGATCTTTGTACAAAATTCTCTCATATTGATGGTTCATTGATCTCTATGTAATTACCATATATTAACTATGTATTGTGGAGAACTAAACATTGAATCATACATAGTCAATATATAAGTATTACGTAATCAATAAACAATCAATATATATGAGGACACTATCTTATTATGCTTCTTGAAGAATTTAGTGTCTAATTTGAAAAACTGAGGAAGAATTTTTATTCTTTTGAACAAACCTCATATACTAAAATGTTAGATTTCTTCAATTGACTGAAGGAAACATATGGTAAATACGTTAAACTTTTGGGCAAATACATTTTTGAATCATTTTGCTTTTCAGGGATGCAATGAAAGATGATGTGAGGACTTGCGATGATGGAGTTGTATAACTATTGTGCTGCATGTATAGGGATGAGCAACCAAGGATATGAGATCACATACTTTCGATCAATTTTTGAAAAGTTGATTGGTTAACCAATCTATTGTATTTTGGATAATAAGCAGCTCATAATGTAGATAGAAAAATATGGAGATATTTGTACCTAGCTACTTTATATTATTTTGGTTGTAGCATACCAAGAGCCCTGACCCTTTTGTTCAAATGGTATGTGTGTCTAAATGCATTTAAGATTTTATACATTTATTCAAGACATTTATATTTCGTGATCTCCAAATACATTTTGGATCATTTTTAGATTCTAATATGAATGTAAATAGATTTTAATATATTTCAGATGTTTAACGGAGTTTTACATCTCACAGCATCGCACATGTTTAAATACTAGTTATAGCTAAACATACTCTCAAAATCTCAAGGAATCTCATTATAATTTCTGTGGTGTATAAATATCGACATTGGAAATCGATGGAAGTGGCAAAACCCCATCCTTGTTTGTATCACATGACTATCATCCAAAACCTATATATCTGGAGAAAGCACGAATGACCCATGCCGGATGTCGTTTCGTTTTCTGAGCATGGCAGAATGACATGACCTTATCCGAAACAGAACGAGAGCAACCAGGAAAGTCCCAATCCCAGTTCTATTTGCATGTCAAATTATAAAGCGGGGCTAACAAAAAGGACGCACAACCTGCTGGGGGTTTGAGCCAAAAGAGACAGCTACAGAAGCTGGTCATCTTTCTCTCTCTCAATATCTCCAATCCAACATGCATGCATGACCCCCAGCACAGCATACGTGTGGCCTGTCGGATCTTTCTTTCTGTATTTTCTTGATACACAGCTGAGAGAGTGAGAGCTACCTCTCTCTCTTTCATTACTATTTGTCAAATGCCAACCACAATTCACAAATGTCCGTGTGTGTGTATATGTGGGGATGCTCAGCAAGCAGTGACATCCATCTTATTTTTGTTTGTCTTCCCTTTAAATTGTACAATATTGAGAGTGAAAGACGTTAATTTCTACAAATTTATATTTAACACGGTATTAGAGCAGGTGTACGTAGATCATAAATGAGTTAGATTAGTATCCCTTGTTCTACGTGAAATGGGAGGGTTGAGACTGAGAGTTACTTAAGTCCCAATACTGAGGACGAGTGTTACTTGTTAGCATAGTTCATCTTCTCAATACCTTCTTAATATGTATGATATGCATGTCTATTTATCATGAATGAGTACGTAAAGTATATTAAAAATCATTTTGATTTCCAACGTATCATGCGCTTACTAACACATAAGAGAATAAAAAAGTATGTCACACATTATAAAATATAACTTATTTTGATATGAGAAACCATATATTATTTCGCTCAACAAAAATATGTTTATTTAATACCTGAACAACTATGTGCGATTACTTCTCTGATTTAAAGATTTAAAGTAAGTAATAGTACTGACATGTAATAGCCTTTCGTATTGTAGATCGATTTTGCAATTCGTTTAGTAATCCAAATTGGAGGCATGCAAAAGCAATTACTCTAAGCACCGATTCAAACAAATTAAACAAACGTATAGTTTAAGCTAATTTGGGTTGCCATGCATGAAAGACCGACGCCTAAAATGCCCGGTTAGAAAATAGTACTGGTCCCGAGCAAAACGAAAAACATAAAAATAGTACTGGCCAAGTAAGTTAAATTTCCATTTATACCTAAACAATATTATGCACAGATTGAGATTGCATCCTAATTCATTTACGTGTCTTCTCCATTGTCCTCAAGAATAAGAGAACAATAACGTCTACGTTTAGGATTTTGGGTTTTGAGGCCTCTTAATCTTTTAAAACGTGTCACCCTACCGTCAAATTTATCACATTTTTTATTTGTTTTAAATGCACGAAAATAACCCTCAATTGCTGAATTTTTTTATTGTGCGAAGTAAATTGACTCTTTTATACTTGCAAGTCCATGTAACAAGTCGGAAGAAGGTCATAATTCCATATTGATTTCGAAATTCTCAATCGATATATCCGTAATTAGGTTGCCGACATTTCTGTAAAAATCGATATTTACAAGGGGTACATTGCGAAGATTTTCGAAAAGAGAAAAGAAACAAGAAGAATGATTGAATAGAAGTGAATGAGTGGAGTGGAGCCATATAAGTTTGTATCATCATGAGATCCAAAGGAAGAAGCGTGTGAGTGAGGAGAGAGGACACGAGACTCGAGGGCAGGCCCTCCTTCTCCTCCTCCTCCGCCTCCGCTGTGCAGCTATCTGGGGTAGAGCTGGTGGTGGTTAAGACCACATTTTCCCAATAAATGCATGAGAAAAATGCCAAAGTGCTTGGCTAGCTATATATGCATGTACAGACTTGACTAGCATTATTTATGCCCGGGCCCTTTGCTTGTACAGTTTCCTGTGTCTCCTTGATTTGCTCTCATTGTCCCCCTTACTATCTCCATGGTCGTTTTGCCTAATTTCCCACATACAGGCGTGGCTGCATCTTAGCCTTAATTTGCCTCCTTTCCCTTCACCACTGGAAAACAAGGCCTTCTATAGCTGGTTGGCTCAGTTGATAATGTCTCTGTTGTGTGTGTCTCGCCATCAAGATTCGAGTCCCGTTGCTAGTAGTTCTCGTTGGTGCGTGATTTATAAATTCTTACGTAAATTCATATAAGTGACAGTTGGCAATTACGTATCACGCGTAAGTCATTCATACTTGAGGTTTGTGGGTATGCCCTGACACTGATGGTGAGAGTAATCAATCTCCCTCTAAACTTTTCTTCACCCAAAAAAAAGGGTCTTCTATAATTTTTAGCCTTTGAACTGAGAGGAGAAATTTTAATCCAACCTTTCTAAAATGTAGTCTAAATTTTAATCCAAATCCAACATACACAATGAGAGGGAAATCACAGAATATATAGGACAAGAACTTTTACAAATCAAACCATGAAATTGGGTTCTCAGTTAACATTTCCAGGGAAATGAATCAAACCCGGAGTGGCCATGTTTTTGTTTATGTCAGTCAAATCCAGGGAAATGCCAAAATTCACCATGTTTTTGTTTGTCAGTCAAATTATTGAGTCTCTATTCTAAATGGCTCCCATAGAGGAGTTGATTTACTGAAGAATCTTCCCACCACCCTGGAATCCAGAATCCTAATGGCCTCCTCTGACTGGATGCACCTGGGAGTTTTGTACTGGTTCACAGAAGATCCCTGGGACACAGAGAAATCCATGAGTGCATCAAAAGTCCCATGCTGCACAATCCGGATCTCCAGTGGTCCTATGGAATTGTCCTTCCTCCTGCACCTCCGGTACACCGAGTCCAGGGATTGTTCCACTGTGGAGCAGCATTGCTCCATAATGATGGTCTCCAGTTCTATCGTGTCGTTGTTTTCTTTGGTCTTGAGCTCCCAGAACAGCACATAGTGGCCTGGGATTGAGGAGGTGTCCGCGTAGCTGGTGTACTCGATGAGGAGGAAGCCGAGGGGCTCGAGCAGGAGCTTTGCTTGCGTGACGGCGTTTAGAAGGTCTTCTTCATTGGTTTTGTCCGTGTCGATGCTCAGAACCACATTTCTCCTGTGCATGAATCTGAACTGAGGAGCTTTGTTGTGGAAGCCAGTCACCATTAGAATGTCACCAACTCTGTACCTGTATAGCCCTGTGTAAACAGTATAAAAAGAAGATTGATAAAACTACCATGATGAGGTAAATTAAAGACCGAAAATTCACAGTCGGATCATGAGTTAGCGGAGAAATCTTCCCTCTCACCGGTCATAAACAATCATGTGTGTGTCTATCTCATCTCCTATCTAGTCACGTGATGAGAGAAACAGACATATAGTTGTATACAACTGGTGACACACAAGAATCTCTCGAGTTAGCGAGTGGGATACCAAAAAACTAATGCAGTATTTTATAGTTGCAAGGTAAAAGTTTTGCTGTCACGTTTAAGAAATGAAACATACATGAAGCATGTGGGTCAGACTCGGATCTAAAAATAGGAAGTACCTGTAAAAGTTGTGACAACAAGTTCATAATAGTGACCAAGCTTCACATCCACTAGATCAACCGTTCTTAAATTTTCCTCCTCATCTGCGTTTGCGCAATCTTGACCAGAAACACCGTTGCACGGGGCTACCTCTTCGTGGTGTTTCTCCACGGGTAGGAACTCGAAGTAGGCCATGTTCGGAAGGAGGGTGTAAGCAACATCATGCGGCTTGCTTAGCGGGTTGAAATTGATCCCGAAATAGCATTCAGAAGAAGCATACATTGTTGAAATCAAAGGCAGTCCACCAGAATAGAATTCAAGAGTTGGGATATACTGAGCCATGGACCCTGTGACTATAACATCAATGTACTTTGTTCTTGGCCAAAGCCTCTTAACTATCCCTTCCATTGACTTGTTACTAAATTCGTGCCTGATCAAATCGCCCAAATCTGGATTCGGTTTGCTAAGGACTAAAGACACCGCGTTTCGACAACTGGAGTCGGTGATCCAGGCACTGACAATACCTGAGCTTATGTTTGAGCACAACTCCTCCCAGTGGTCCTCTAAGAATTTGATGGCCCGGAGGAAGGCGGACGCAAAAACTGCACCGACCCTCAGGACCTCATCCCTCTGTACTAAACCACAGAGTAACTGGCAGTACATACTCTGCTTGCTGTCTGAGCACAAGATGGTCTCATCCGGGCTTGTGTAGATGTTAAACCGGTTGAAAGGCCGGTTGCGGAAGTTACTGCTCTTGTAGTAGCTGGTCAGGACAGGCCTTGCCACTAATCCGGAAGGAGTACTAATTTCCGGTTTGATAAACAAGAGGTACATTCCTTTCCCTTGGTCCAAGCCATCCACATACCTGAATTTGAAACAAATATAATTTCTCAGTTACCTTGTTTTTCACTGTTACATCAATTTAGAACCAACAGTAAAATTTAATATAAACACAGCAAAAAGGACAAAAAAAGTAGCTTCTCACTTGTTCATCACAGGCACAAGGAGATTATAAAAGAATGTCTTCCTGTCCAAGTCTTCAACGGTTGAAGGCATCATCTTCGGCTGTCCTCCCGAAGTTCCCGAGCTGTGAAAAAACATAACTATTAGAACTAAACTTCATGAAACATAAGAAATTGTACTTGTAACCATATACTTTTCGTACCTGGTGAGGAGCTCAGTGATTTTTTGAGCCGAGATGATCTCAGACGTCTCTCCATTGGCAATTCGCTCGATGTAAGGCTTGACATCTTCATAATTCACAACAGGAACTTTGTTCTTGAAATCCTTCTTGTCATGGTGGCCATTGAGAAAGCCCTTCAGATATTCGGTCTGGGCATTTTTCACTATTATCTCTTCCAACACCCGCTGCTGTACTTCATATGCATTTGTTGTCAGGTCCTCAAGAAGCTTCAAACCATATTCACTGTCATTTGGATTATATCTGGGAATCATCCTTGGCAACATTAGAAAGCAAAATTAAATAAAGAAAATTTTGGTCCGAGCCGATTCTAGGACGTCACTCACTGTGACATACAAGCAATGAATCCAAAAATTCACCGGAATTTCGGTCTGATTTTCATCAGTTAAGACCTGAAACTCTAAGAAAAAACAGATTCTCTCTTCCCTTTTGAGCTTAATTTTGTAACATGAAAAGGTGCCTTGCAGGAGAAAAAAAGTGGAAGAAGAGTGAAAGTGCTTAAAGAGCAAAGGAAGAGAAAGTGCTACATATTTGTATGAGCCATTGTCTTGCAATAGAAGGCTGCTCAATGTGGTTTCTGTGTAGCAGCTGAGAAGAAAGGGTGGAGGGAAATGAATAAATAACAGATTCTGGAGGGGACTTCGGGAAAAGATGTATATTCAAAAATAAAATAAATCTGAAAAATAAAAAATGAAAATGTGAGGGAAGTTGAGGAGGCTATGGAGGTCCTACACACGTGGCCTTGCCTGGTTAGCTGTGAATAATATTGAAAAAAAAATTAAGGAACTTTAACAAAAAGTTCCCGATATTATTCATTTTAACGAAAAATCATATTTTTACACTAAAAAATCAATCTTGGTATTATTCACTTTACCTTTTATTTTGTCCTTATCATTAAAACTCAAAATTTTCAAGTACTTTTCATTAGTTTTTCTAAAAAATTAAGGTTGGTCAAACTCAAAACTACCTTCGAGTTTACCTCTTTTGTCTGCTCAAATCAAACCATTAGTCAGCCAAGGACCTAGCTATTAATTGAATACTCACTATCTATTAGACAGATGGAATGAGATAATAATTAAAAAAAATGTAACAACAGAAGATTTATTTAAAAAAGGTCGTACCCAATGCACAAGGTTCCCATTTTACGCAGGGTCTGGGAGAGGTAAATGTCGGTTAGCCTTACCCTCATTTTATGGAGAGGCTGCTCCCAAGTCTCTCAAATCATTAACTAACTATAATATCGCACATATAGCTCAAATCAGTTGACTAAGCGGGTGCTTGTTCCGTGCACTCAAGTTTCAATTTCCTTTGCATAGAAGTATCCAATTGCTAATGCCATCAAAATATTGTATAGGAATCATGGACAAGCTCTGGCTTCTGATAGTAACAGAGATTTTAACAGGGAAGTTCTTTTCAAGAAGGGGACTGATAGATTTAGTCAAGGTTTTGCTAATCCCAGCAGACATTTAGCAAAGAGTTGATTAGACTTCATTAAAACAGGATTAAGCAGTGGTTTGTCACATTCTCTGCCAAAAATAATTATGCTACAAAATTAAGGTGGGGGTTTATTTGGCTGCTAATTTAATTAATTTCAAGCAGACAAAACCTGGCCACAAGGTGATAGGGGAGTTTTCACCACCAGGCATTGCACCAGACCCACATAAAGACTTTTGTGGCTCTAAAATAAAATGAAATATTTTCAAGGAAATGATTTGTTTACTCATTGTTTAAGATTAATGAAGCTCTAAAATCAATATCTCTTTCCTAATCTAATACTAGGAGGTGTCTAATAAGTCACCATATTTGATATATTACAGCTGGGTAAGAATATCTAATGTTGAAGAAAATATTAAAATTTATACACCAAATCAGATCATTCATGCTAAGGGGCAAGTCTATTGCGTGCATTCCATTGGTGAAGAACTTCTATGTACCACAGGATGACACAAAGATGGAATCTCAAGTCAATTAGACATTATCACGCAGGAAACTTAAAACACGTGATAGTGTGTGATTAATTTAAGAGATTGCTACTGTGGCATTTCGTGTAAGTTTAGCTTCTTGAAAGAACATGCTAAGTGTCACACGGATCATATTTATCTTTGTTCTGGTGCATTATGAACGATACAATCCTACCACGATCCACTGATGTTTAACTCTGCGCGATTCCAAGAACAAATCTTGATGAGAAACAGAGAAAGAATGGCAAAAGGAACAAATATAAAAGAAAAAAAAAATAAAAAATTGATATATAGACAGAAAATGTTTGTCATGCCAGTTAGTAGAGAATCATATGTCATTTCAAGGACCCTACTCTGGAAATTGGAGTCACCCAAATTATGATTGGACCAAACCAAGGATCAAACAAGTTGGATTATCAATTTCTGGGCTATACAGTCCAACACTCAAGAGAGTGTTGGCTTGCAAACTGTCCCCCTGGTAATTTGACGGATCTGAGGACAAAGAGAGTACTATTTTTGAGTAAATTATTGTCCAACTCTACAACAAATGCACAAACCCCAGCATACAGCTAAAAGTTCCAATCTTTCATAGGCTCCACTCATGTCCCAAGAAAAAAACCAATTCCTTAAGGGTAAAGTCAATACTTGATGAACACTACTTACATGATTATAGTTCACACACCATTCAAAAATTGCAAAAAAAAAAAAAAAAAAGGCTAAAATGCTCTCGAACATTGAATACTCTGCGACTTAAAACGATTAGATGCAATCCATCGGTTGTCCTAAGTGACGAAGTATTCAATACTCTGGCATGTTGTAGCCTCACCCCAAAACTTAATCAATTTTGTAACTTTTTTCTTTTTATTTTACAAAAAATAAAGGAAAACAAAAGTTTCTGTAAATTAGGAACTGCCCTACTTCATAAAGTTGCGGATTTGCAAGAGACAGTAAGCTACTTTAGAAGTTAGGCCAGAAATGGAAAAGAAAATGCTTCTTTCTGGTCTTGAAACACCCACGACTTCACATAACAGAATGGTCCCATCAGAACTAATATTGTAAGGCGTTAACAAAATGAACTGGCTTTTAGGCATTTAGCATGGGGTCTCTCAATCCTACTCTATCTCGGACTTGGATTTTTTCCCCTCATTTTTCCATCCCCTTCTATCTCTTCCTCTCACATTCTCTATTTTGTTTTTCTCTTTCTATAAAAAAAATTAATATAAGATGTTGACGTGGCTTAACCGTGACCGTTCAAATGGGAGAGGAGGGAAGGGGAGGGAAAAAAAAAAGGGGAGAGAATCCTACTCCATCTCTCAAGCACCAATCGTGTATTTTTCTCTGGGGTAGCGTGTCACGACAGGGTCTCAAAAGTGTTGGGACTTCTAGGTTTGCTTGCTTGAGAACAGAAAAAATGTGTATGGTAGAACACAACTGTCATACACAACATTTGTTAGTTGCAAAATCATAATGTTTATTCTCGGGAGCAAAACGAAGCTCGCGCATTACTTTGCCTAGCTGCCTTGGCTCCTTACACTAGCTTGGCCTCTAAGAGATATTTTGTCCAATATCTTGCCACCATGAGAACCATTCTCAATAGAAAGTGTCAGAATTTCAAAGAAACATGAGGCAATTGCGTACATTGTCCTTAATGGTATTCATGATGAACCACTATTGCTCAAGTAAACTCTTTTCATAATTCATAATGTGCAATTCAGATTCACAGTTCGACAATATGGTTTAGTAAAAGAACATTACAACATTCTCTTAAAATGGTCAAATAACATGCATGCAACGGGTTAAATTTGAGAGAATAGTCACATACCCAATTCTAAAGCAAAATCTTAAATGTAACCGGCAATTTATCATTCTCTTTATGCCTTGCATCATGTCGCATCACCGTAGAATCCCCTACTTTCTAAGCAAGTTCTCTTATACATGGGGCTCATTGGGATGTGTTAAAATTTGGCTAGCTGTTTTGGGTGTGTGTAACAATAAAGGAAGTTGAGGGTTTGAGGCTTTGAGCCTTTGAGGTTGCTTCAGGTAAAAGAGTAGGCCGTCATGCGAGCTCATTGAGGGAAGCAATTGAGCAATACAAAACCGTTGTTCGTTAAACAGATTGAAGAGGAAGAAAAATAGTAAAGTAATAGCTAAACAGTAATATTAGGACATATTGATCGGGATTTGCTAGATTTGGTTTACTAATTTAGGTCTTCATGTTTAAGATAAAACAAAGTAGGTGTCTTAAGGGGGGACAGACCGCCCTCGAAATGGGCAGGGGAAGAGGAGCAAACTAGGGGTGGGAACCGGGAAGGGAAGAGTGAGATCGCTCTTCACTTTCCCCCGGTAAATATATTATCATTTGTTTGACCAAACGAAAGCTCCACCGTCCAGTTGTTCTTCAAATTAATGACCAATGTGGGTTTATATCATATGATTCACAACATGATTAACATGCAAAACGTCACAAGCACTTAGTCTAATGATAACTGGAGACTTATGGTTCGGTTCACATGAATACCGAATTAAACATATAAAAGGTCGTACCCAGTGCACAAGGCTCCCGCTTTACGTAGGGTCTGGGAGAGGTGAATGTCGGCTAGCCTTACCCCAATTTATAGATAATTGTTTTTTGGATTCACTTGAATTCCAAACCGACTTCTTCTCAAATCTGTCTTAATTTGTTATCATTTATTGATATATTTGATTCAGAGTGAAGAACCATAATTTAGAGAGTGAAGAACCATAATTTAGAGTCTCGATTTTAGAGTCTTAGTTTTAGAATGGTTAACGCTAGAATTTTAAGTTTTAAGTCACATAATATGCAAAGCACTCTCTCACTTTCCACATTTAGATGGTGGGAGTTTCGACTGAACTATGCTGCCTACCGATTGACGTCCAACATATCCTCCTTCTCATCATCATGTCCTTCTCATCATCGTGTTCTTCCTTCTCATTATCATGTTATTCCTTCATATGATTCTATTTTTCTCAAATCCCAACTAGTTTGTTGGATCACCGCCAATGATGAAATATAGCGTTTTGGGTAGGATAGTGGCTGGGCTCAATATAGACGACGATGACACTAGAGGATGGGGTTTGTAGATCCATGCAAATCTAGAGGTTTGTGAGGTTTATGTTTTTTAGGTTTTAGTATGTTTTATACTTAAGAAATTGCATATAACCAAGTTTGAGTTTGCTGTGTATTATGTAGTTTCTCTATAAGAGTTTCAGTTAGCAATTAGAATGGAACTGCAATTTCATGTCGTTATGCAGTTGGCATCTTGAGTAGGTGTGGTTTTGGTGACTGGATCTCAAATTTTTCTATTCGTTGATTTGCATGTAATTTTTTCTAGATCATTTTAATTTTGTGATCGGATTTGTTACAAATGTGATATTGAAATTGATCAATAGAAAAGGCTTTTACTCATATTCAGTGTCGTATTTGCTCTCGGTATTCAATGTTATATACTTACATATTGTATGATTTAATCACACGTAACTAAATTCAACCTACAAATTGTATAAGAGGAAACTTTTCTTTAGTTGAATTTTGGTTGACATTACAACTTAGAGTACGTTGTAATATGGTTAATAGTGGAAACAAGCAAATCACAAATACAATTAACCACTAACCTTGTAAAGCCAT